TAAGCAAACAACGCGCACCCTTTCATCGCAGCGCATTAGAAAACAATAACAATAATTACAACATTAATAACAATAACAATTTAAAGCGCATTTGACTGCATTGCGTGCCACTTGCACCTCTTACACCTCTTGCACCTCATTAGCGCCCGAAATGACATGCAATAATCAAATTGAATGCGCTCGCCAACAAATGAAAATGCTGTAACACCCGAATTAAAACGAAACATAAAGGGTGATCCGTTGCTATTTTTTTGAAGGAAAAATACAGAAAATTCAAATTTAGTATGGAATGTTTATTATCATTCGAAAGAACATTCTTTGACATTTAATTTCTGAAGATTGCCTCTTTCAAATCTTGGCCGCGGCTACGTTACAGATGGTCCAACCATTGAGTCTAATTTTCAATGACTCGTTCGAGCATTTTGACTGGTAACTGGCGAATGACACGCCTGATGTTTTGTTCCAAGACCTGAATCGAAGCGAGATTGATCGCATAGATTTTAGACTTTACATTTCCCTACAGGAAAAAGTCTAACGGTGTGATATCACACGATCTTGGTGGCCAATCGATCGGCCCAAAACGTGAAATTATCTGCTCATCAAAGTGTTCTCTGTTGGTTTGTTGAAACCAAATATCGCCGAGATCATCAGTTTCAATTTCAGGCATCAAATAATCAGTTATTATGGCGCGATAACGGTCGCCATTGACGGTTACCTTCTCATCGGCAAAATTTTTGAAGAAATATGGACCAATGATTCCAACGGCCCACAAACCCCACCAAACCGTTGTTTTTTTCCGGATGAAATGGCAGCTCTTGAATCTCTTCAGGTTAGTCTTTGTCCAAAACGTGGCAATTTTGCTTGTTTACATACTCATCGAGCCAGAAACGGGCCTAATCGCTGAACAAAATGAGGCTCGAAAATGTCGGATGTTCTTGGAACTTTTCAAGAGCACATAGAGTGAAGGGATGTCGCTTGGGAAGGTGAAGCGGCTTCAGTTCTTGCACCAGCTGTATATTGTACGGTTTCAATTTAAGATCTCGACGTAAAATGCGTCAAGTTGTTCCGTACGTCAGTTCGAGTTGTTTCGAGCGGCGCAGAATCGACTATCCAGAGTCTTCGTGTGCACTATCAACTACGGCCGCTATATTTTCTTCACTGCGTGCTGGACGTGCTCTATTCGATCGTGTATTATTCATCATATAGTACCTCTACTTGGATCACCCATTATAAAAATGCCGGTGATTGAATGCAACAACTCTTAGTTTAAATTGAAAAACAACCTTTTTGCTACCCCTTAGCATTTCGTTTTATTATTGACGCTTGCAACATGGAAGTTGAAAGGCAGAATTAAGCATCAAATGCTAATGCAACTGCAATGTTAGCGCTTAAATGTGTTGCACGGAACAGCTGGAAATGCTTAAGAGACGGTGAATGCATTTGTAGCCCTGACACCTTGCCTCAACCCACCTCGGTTGCAACATTTCTTTATTCACTTCGATCAAGTGATTTGTGCGACGAAAGCGAATGCGCACTTTGCGTCTTAAAATAAAAGCGCATTCACTTATGCACTTCATCAAATTCTTACCGTTATGAAGCGGGGGCCAAGTGCGTGTGGTTTCAAGCACTGCTGTTGTTGTTGTAGGCAAATGCGTGCCAAACAGAGCAACTGTCAACACCGGCATGCTCCATTCCGGCTCGCAACATTCCAACTATGTGTATGCAATAACAACAACAAGAACGAAATGTTTTTGAAACAACAACAATGCATTAATTTGTGTGATTGGGGTGCTCGCTCAGGTATTTTTAGAAAATTATGTTGTATTTCAAAAGCAATCATAAAAACTAAACTAAATCATTTTGTAGGCCGACAAAGGTCTGCAGCGATTTCATTTGTGTCGATGCTTCCAATATAGATGTGTGTGTATTGAGTGTGTGTATTGGAGAGGGGCGAAAATGGAAAATATTACTGTCAAAAGCAAATAAAAGATTTTCATACACAAACACATGTCTGTATATATGAATGTATATATGACTATATATTATATCTAGATATGTGCCGCTGCGTTGCTTCAGAAGCTTTTTATAAGCATTTCACATTTTCATAAATTACAACATGAAAATATTGAAGCAGTGTCATTTGATGTCTCCCTTTCATTGTTGTTGCTGTTTAATAGCTTTCATGAAGGGCGTCGTCTGTCCTGTCACATTTTTTCCCACTTTTCTACTCTTTTTTCATCCAACAAACAAAGCTAAAAGCTGAAAATTTGGAAAGCAACGTTTTGCGTTAATTGAAAATGATTTTCCCCTCGAATTTGCCGCTGGAAAAAATGGAATTTGTGTCAGCGACAGCAACGTTTTAAAGCGTAGGTGGGTTGCTTTCTCTGTTGAGCATATAGAACAAGTATAGAGGTTTGTGTATGTGTGAATTTGTCTACCTTCTAATTAAATTAAGTTTCTTAAAATTTTTTAATATTTCTCACTAAAAATGAATTTCTGTGCCAGAATTGAGTAAATTTTTATTTTTAAGTTTTGGTATGAGGGGAGTACTAACGTGTTATTTTGGGATTATTCTTATTAAAAAAGTATTTTTATATTTTTGAATATATGTCGACTATATTTTCATTTCAAAACGAAGTTGAAAACTAACTTAGTGCGAACTAAATTAGCAGCTAACATCACTTTTACTAAATAGAAATTAAACAAGGTATCCAATTAATCTCCCATTATAAAGTACATTCTTATAAGAATTGTAAATTTTGAACTAAGTAGATAATGCTTGAAATAGTGCATATGTATGTCTTCAAAATTTATAAAAAAAAATTAAATAAAAAATTTATTACATATGAAATTCTAAATAGCTTTGATAAAAAACTCTCATCATTTCCAAAGTGTGCGTTTGAAAAAAACATGTTCCTCTTCGAATTAGAAAGTGAAAATAACGAGCATTGCTGAAAGACCATCACCTTTACTAACACTAAACACAAAAACAAGAAAGCCAATCATTATAATCCGTCCGGAAACTCTTCTATTTTGCAAAAACTAATATTTGCTTGCAATTTCTCTAAGTTCTTTCGAAAGGAATTTGTATTTTTTTTAATGAAATTTTTAGTTTTGCTTATATTCTATTAAAATATTATAAAAGTTTTATTAATTATTTTACCTAAATGCCTGAAATAATAATATATATTATAAGTTAAAAATTTGAACATAATATATTATAATATAATGTAATATATCCTAACCTAGACAGACATGTCTGAGTCAACGAAAATGATTTTCGAATTTAAGAAACGCCAAAATCTAACAAATCAAATAGAAAACTTCACTAGCTCGAAAATATTCTACAAACACTGTAGACTTTTCCGTTAAAGACTGAAACGGATGAAGACATATCGTGTATATTCCATATCTTTCTTTAGTATCGTCATTTGAAAATATTTCGAAGACATTATAATATAAAATAATAATTTCCAATAAGTAACAAATACTGAAGAAAGGTCTTAATAAATTAGTGAATCAAAAGTTCGTGAATAAAAACATTCTCTACTTTTTACTTTTTATAAAATACTTTTTTTAAAACTAAAACTAGTAATTATACGCTTATCATACAAAAAGTGGCTTGAATGTCATATAAAAGGTGGATGTCTTCGCTACTATTCGAAGCTATATCTGAAGGTCAGCAGCAGTATCTGCCCATTCTTTATTGACCTTTGGCGCAAGGATGGACCGTTAACATATCCTCTTAGGTTAGAAAGGTTTAGACTGAAAAAAGATTGCCAATTTATGGCACAAAATTTTTATAAGCCCAAAACTATATAAAAATATAATACAAATTGATTGGTTGATTTAGTTCATACTGTAAATCTAAGTTATATTACCAAGGCATTCGACATCTGGAAATACTAGCATAGTCCTAGGCACTTACGCCTAATTGAAAATGTTTGTATTGCTTCGTTCTCAATTATGAGTTCAATAAACGCGTATATAACGTAATTTACAAAGAATTCACGAAAAAATGCCAAATATGCTAACTTTTGGCACCTCAGTTAACGACAGCCGATGCTGAGATGTGGCGCTGAGAAAACCACATGCGCCTAAATGTAGGCAACATAAGCAAATTCACGTCGAAACTCGTAAATACCACAATGTAGGGCCATAAAAAAGCATTCAGCAACGGATATTCCAGCTAAGTAGCAAACAACTTTCGCCAAGAAAGATCAGAAAAAGAAAATGAAAATGAAAAAACACGAGAAAAAGTAATGAAAGAAATAAAGACTCGTATGGTCTGCTGGCCGTGCACTGACGCATGGCGACAACAACAGGCGCGCTAAACAGAGCACCGTCGGCGAGGACAGTCGAAGCAAGAAGGGAACCGACAGCAGTAGCACATAATTGCATTCACTCAAGCGTGTTACAAATAGCTGGATCCGTTGACGCAAAAGAGGGTAGAACGAAATCAATGAATCAGAACGGAAGTTGTAGCAACATATATATATATACAAACAATCAATAGAGCAAAATTATTGCCCTTCAACAGCAGCAGCAGCACTATAGGGCGGGGGAGAGCTTAGTGAGCGAGGGAGTGCGCGAGCGGGAGCAAGGATCAGGTGGAGGAAACTGTGCAGGCTATACAGCAGCAAGACGATAAAGATTAAGACTATGCAATACTGGGCGCGGGAGTGCGGGAAGGCGTGCCATAGACAAGGAAATGGCGCAGAGCAAAAAGGATGTAAAAATAGGAAATAGTTTCTGCAGTTCGTTAAGGAAACGGAATAAACATTGTAATAAGTAGCAATGAGCATATTTGTTGTGCGGCATTGTAGCGGTAAACAATTCTATACACAAATACATATATATGTAGTATATAGATATATTTATTCACTAGCGAGTTATTTAGAGCACAACAACAACATGCTGTTTATCCTGCTTACTTCTTTCACATATTCATTGCACACTTTTCATTAGCTCTTTTTCCGTTCTTTTCTTTCTCTTTGCAGTACCTGCCAGAGTTGTTTGGGCTGCAGTTGGCAAAAGCGTCGATTTGCTGTGCGATCTAACGCCTCCAACGCCGCAGGACTCCGTGAAGCTGCTGTTGTGGTTCAAGGACTCTACCGGAATACCACTTTACAGGTAGTTAAAATCACTTAATCATTAGCTCGGACTACAAGCGCTCACTATGTTATTTATAAGTGTAGTTATTTGTTATACCGTAACACACACAAACATGCATGCAAGTGTAGTGTTGCATCACTGGCGAAAGCAGCCAGTGTACCGTTAACTGGCAAAAGGATTCGCAAATGGTTGAAAGGCTACAATGAAGGTTATAAATTTTAAAAGGAAATTGAAAACTCATCACTGCGGCCAACACCACTCACATACAATCACAAACATACATATATACAATATATATGTGTAGAGATAGGCGCACGGTTAGTGGCTCGCCACCATGCCAATTGCACACAAACAAACAAACAAATAAAGGCAGGGAAATTGAGAATTTTGTGGTTAGAGCTAGTACATATATACATACACATGTACATAGATATATTTGTATGTATACATGCTTGTTTTTGTTTTTCCGATTAGCCATTTTTCTCCGTTATTTATTGTCATTTTCCTCACGTGTTAGCAACGCAGATTGGCTAGATTCGCGGTACAAGCTCAGTTGTCATAAGCAGCGGCAGCAACGCTTGTTGGCGCTGTCTTGGCTTTTCGCATCCTTTTCGGGTGCTGACGCGTTACGCTCACGTTTGGTGACAGACACACATTATATTCCAAAAACTACACTTGCGCATGCACACCACACACACAACCACATGTGTACATATTCAGCAGACCGCAAACGCTAAGGCGCCAATGTTCACACAATTTGCGAGACCCGTTTTCAGTTTTCAGTTTTGATTTATTCGCCATTTTAAGTAGACATTTTTGTGGTTTTACTTCTTAAATTTGCTGTAGAGATATATGTGTCTACTTTAAAAAAATTTTTGTTGTATTTTCGTTTTTTCTTTGTTGTATAAGTCTATAAATAAATTTCAGTATTCAAAGCGTGGGAGTATTTCGAAGTCTTACGCTAATTTGATGTCGTAATGTTCTCTGGTTGGGCGTGTCTTGGTTTAACGTCATAACTTATCGATTTATATTTATTATTTTAAAGCATCTAAGTCACAGTTATTTAATCGCAAATTCAATTTGGTATTAAAAGCAATATAAAAGTTCAAATATGTTTTTTTTGTTTCTTAATTTATCAAAATATATACTTGTATGTTATGTGAAAATGGCAGAATTTACTTCATAATCTATAATTTTACTAACATTTTATATGGCAAATATCTAAAAATAAGTCTCTAGTACAGGATGACGCACAAATTGTGCCACAAAAACAAACCGTAATAAATTTTTTTTAACTGTCTAGTAGATACCCTCGCAAACCCAAGCTCATTCACATTCACTGTTTAACATATATCTCGCCAAAAATGCTGTTAAATTTGGTACCTGTGCTGTTCTAATAAATTGTCCCGAAAGCTCTTTTATATATGGTATATTCTACAAGAAATGCTCCAGAAAATAATTTTAAACATTTTCAGGGAAATTTATGAAGAGATGTACCCTCCAAAAATAAAAATATTGGCTTCAAACTACTTTGTAATATTCTTCCTTTATCCCAAAACACAGTGGTTTGAATATTACTGGCATTTAAGAGAATAAGAAATTTTAAACAGTTTTAGTATCTGTAATGTTAAACTTCAAAACAGTTATTCAATTTAAAATTTACCTTAATAACTGGAGAATAATAATTTTTCAAGGAAATGAAATCCTACATATCAGAAATTCTCTTAATAAAGTATGTTTTCTTTTGAAGCTTTTTAATCATTTTTTGTTTAAAATGTAAGCATTTGCACACACATATACTAAGGAATTACTCTCGCAGATAACTCAGGTTGAAATTTCAGCAAGGGTTTAACACTAATTAAATTTTAAGCTTTATATCGATTTCTTACCGCAAACCAGAAGCACAATATGATAGAGGCTTTTACAGCTGAAAATGTATGTGTTATGGCTATTATTATGAATAAAGTTATGAAATGCTGAACATTTTTGAATTAATTGCATCTGTTAATATTCAAAGGAATATTGTTAGCAAACTCATGTACTTGGTTCTCCAATAAATATTTAAATAAATTAAATATTATATAAAACCTAGCCTACAACCAGGCTCTCCACTTGTGATATTTAGCAAAGTCGCACACCTTATATGGTGACAGCAGAGCGTGTTAACGATTTTTGTTTATAAAAAGAACATGACAAAATTAATTATTAAATGGAGTAGTATATTAATTACACATATATATTATTTCATATATATTCAAAACTAAAATTAATCTAAATCTACGAATATAATTCTAGCGATCTAAATTTACCCAACAAATTTAAAACAGAAAACTTATGATTTCATTAGTCCTAATTAAAAATGTGTTTTTCATCTTCATTGCAGCTTGGATTCGCGCGGTGGAAACATCAAATTAGCACCGCATTCGGCCATAGCTAGCGATTTGGGTCAGCGTTTGTTCTTCTCCATTGGCGATAATCTGAAGGACTCGCGCCTGCAGATACGCGATGTGAAGCCAACAGATGGCGGCATTTACCGTTGTAGAATAGACTTTTTCAATTCGCCAACACGCAACTTTAGAATTAATTTAACATTAGTCGGTGAGTGAAAGATAAAATAAAAATTTCAAAATTGCACGCATATATACATACCAGAATATATTTATAAATGTATTTCTGTGTTTTGAAGCGCACACATGCGGTTGCGGGCATTTCAAAACCAATTGCTCACTTCAAAACAAATTAATTTTATTTTACTTTCAATTAACCCGTTCTCTAATCTTGCTCGTTTTTTTTCTCTCTTTTTCGCATATCCTTCGCCGCTGCGCTGTCTCATATTTGCCACCCCTGCGTTGACAGTTCCGCCCGAGGAGCCACGCATTTTCGATGCACAAGGCAAGGAGATTGCCCAAATGGCCGGACCATTTCGTGAGGGCTATGAACTGTTTTTATGCTGCCAAGTTAAAGGAGGTAAGTGATTTGTAAATGTCAGTCCCTTTTTTAATCAACGCATACAAACACATAATGGAATGCGCGTGATATCGCTATGTATCTCGACTTTTCCCATCTGTATGTACATATGGGTATACGCGGTTTCGTGCAGAACCGCAATTCTCCTTTTTCGGGCATCAGTTGTATGCAATTGTATGTTAGCCTAAACGTGTTTCATGTATGTGTGGCTACGCATTTTAATCTGATATACATTGGATCAAACTAGTGACCTTAGAATGGAAAAGGTACGCTTTAAATTCATGTAACTTTTTAGGCAAACTCAAAGGACTCTTAATAACCAGCTTTTTTGACAGCTTTCGCGGAATTATTGTACTTAAAACATTTATTTCCGCCTTATCCGCAATTAATTTCAATTGGTTTTGTAAAAGTAGTGTTGTATAATAACAAAATACTTAAATTTATTCTATCCACAACGCCCTAAGATATTGAAACGTGGGATTCTCTCAACAAACAACTATTTTATGGAATCGCGTATCCTCGTAACTGAGAACGGAAAGGCACCATCTGACAAACTTACTTAACAAGAAAGTCAAAAATGCCTAATTTCCCATGTAATATCAGTGCCTTCACTATTTTGGTGTTAGAACCGGCCATCTTGTTAGGTATACAAGTATATTCTCTCTAAAAAGCCATTCTACAGAACATTTTATGAGTTTCAGCTTACAAGTATTTAAGAAAACTAGAGAGTAAGTTGATATAAGCAGTAACTTTTGCTGAGCATTGAATAAATATCAAATGAGTCGAAACAACGAATGACTCTCACTAGATAAAACAGTACTTTCTGATATTATATAAGAAAGACCTTAAGGAAGGTTATGCTTACTGTGAATGCACTTGTATCGTTTAAAATAGTTAGATTACAAAATTAAATTATATATTGAATCGCAATGTTCTGACGATCCCAAATTAAGTCGTCGTCATTTCTTAATTGGACAGTTAATTCTGCCGTTAAGATTTGTGGCTTCAACTTTTCACTAGATACATTTTTATTTATAGAAGATTTGAGAAACGTTAGGCGAATATTTTCCTTATTACTTTTGAAATATTTTGTAAGATTTTCAACCATCAGAAGAATATTTCGCCACTATTTCTATGTGTCAGAATTTTCTACTTACCCAATTTGTTTTGCAAAAGCTTATAAGTAATTTTGTAAACTATATTTAAACTAATTTTAGTCGAAGTAGCTTACTACAGATCTTAATTGCTGAAATGTACTCATGATGCTTCATATAAGCTCTTTAAGAATAACTAGTTTTGTTTGGTGTTTTGAAAAATATTACATTTTTCACTCTCCATTCAAACTTTTTTCTATACATACATTAGGGTCGGTAAAAAAAACGAATATTTTTTTCGCTTGATACTCTGAAAAACACCTCTAAAAAAGTCTCCCCAAGTATGATCTCTTAATTGTAACGAGAAGGTCCCCTGCCTCACACTTTTCTATTTTTTTCTTATAATCAGATAGAAAAATTCAAGTCTCGCTTGAAAATTTATTTCGATTCATAAGTTTGAAGAATACCAAGCTAAAAAATATGTTTTTTACCCACCCTAATGTACACATATATTATAGTTGTCCGATTTTCTTAATTTTCGCTGTCATTATTAAGTATATGTTAGAAAACAGTTCTTTTAATTAAACGCAGATTACAGGAAAAAAAATATGAATAATTAGTAATATAAAGGATATGTGATAAAGTTGTCCGATGTGGCCGATTCCACCAAAAGATCAATAGCATATCAAAGTGCACATATATATTAAATTTCATTGGGATATCTCAAGCAATGACGAAGAAATTTTTATAACCCCTAAGAGCTAAAATTTGTTCTTAGGCAAAGTTGTCAGCATGATCCGTGGAATATTTCCCGCATATGCGATTTTATAGAAAAAAGAATCGACCTGCTCTAGTATACATATGTTCTCTAAATCTTTTAATCGCCTTCAAGCACCCTTTTCACCTTTTTGTATGCTCCTTTCTGCTCAATAACTAAAATTGAATAACCTTTGCTCACATTTTGTACGCATTTTCGCAAATATTTTTCCCATCAATAAAAACCTAACTTGATTTCCGGCTTAAACTAATCTAAGAGTCAATTGTATACCCACTGACACCGATAAACCCACGCACTGCGCACAAAAATTAATTTAATTATTTTGCTGTTGGAAACTTTGTCAACGCACGTGTCCTTGAAAACATCATAGCACCTTTGTTAATACAAACTATTTTGCTTTTCGTTTACCCAATCAACTCGTGCTACACACGAACACAAAGACGTGCACAAACTTTTCACTAAAAGGGTTTCATGCGTAGAATTTCTAACAGAGGAGCACAAGGTAGCGCATTAGCTAATAATAATTTCACTCGTCGGTAGCCGCAACAAGAAAAGTATATGTAAGAATATACAAATTTCTAAAAAAAAATATAAGCAGATGGAATAATGTTTATGCTTTTGCTGATGCACACGACTTGGCATTCACGTGCGTTGCTGGCTTCACTGCTGCTGGCTTGTGGCCAAACATGACCATGACAAGAATTTTTATACAGCGACCATTCCATTCTTGTTATCAAATTTATGCTGACATTTTTTCGATCGAACATGCATGTTTCACCCCCTTCCAATTTGTTTACATTAGGTTAATGCTTAAGGACGTTGAAATGAAGGAGTTCATTCTTCTATCATTTCATAAGTTGTATTAAATATCCATTTGGTTCACGATTGCAGGTGGTTAAGTTGAGTTATAGGTGGTAAAGAATCAAATTCCTCTATGGAAGCACAAAGAAATTAAAAAAATCTTAAAGGTAGGGTTTAGATCTTTTCTTAGTTTCCACCATTAATATAGACTACCCTAGTACCAATAAATGCACATGTTCTTTATGAAAATAGCTAACCTATTTTACTCAATTCGATTTCTTCAGCTTCAAACCTGTAGGAAATGCTTTCATATACTATATACTATATATTATATATAAGGCATAAGCAAAAGCATGCATGTATTTATATATATAAACTTATTTGCCGCAGCACCCACTGTCGAAATGATAAATAGAAAAGCTGCAAATAAGCAGCAATGTTGCGTATACGCAGCAATGTCCTTCCTTCATCTCTTTTAAATTCGCTACATATACATATCTACTTTGATTGTGATATGCCAGCTAGTGCAACGATATTAAGTTGTGTGCACATATGTGTATTTATGTATAGAGTTTTCTCTTATCAACATTGCTTGCTGCATGTGGCTTGTTGTTTTCTCCACACTTCTTTGTGTCATCGAATTTCTATGAATAGATATGCTTTCTCCGCTTTTGCTGTGTGTGAAGTGTTGGTTTTTTAAAACTAGATTGCTGGTATTTATTTGTCACAGCGATTGGCATTTCTTTGTAAGAGTTATCACACTATTTTGATCGCAGCAGCTAATCGTATTTTGTTTCTTCACGAGTGCACTTTGCATAAATATTGTGAATATTGCATTTCAAGTGGAATTTAGTAAATATATTCATGCAAATAGAGCTAAGCTTTTGTAAATAACATGACATTAAAAGAAAATAACTTATTTTTTTTAGTTTAGTACTAGGAGATAACTATTCCATGTTTTAAGATTTACAACCATGTATGTAAAAAATGAAATCGTTTTGAAGAATATGCTACATATAAGTATACAAAAATGTTACTCAATTTCTAGAACTTTGGTTGTGTAGTTGTTCTATGTGGCAGCTTTATTATTCTTATGAAGAAAAATATACGTATTGAGCAGTGTACACTAAATATATATAGACGCTAGAGGAAGACGCTCCTTTTGTTTGGTGTTTGGGATTAGGCTACAATGAACGGTACTCACAAGTGTTGAAGAGAGAAAGAGGAAAGCTTCAAAACATATATTTTTTAATGCGACTGTGTAGGAAGTATATTAAATAAGTAGCAAATAGTTTATCATATGAAAATAAAACTTTTGAGATTCAACCAAACCTTCTCTCCTTTCATGATTCATAATCTGCCGAACTTTCCTGCTAGTCTTAGAACCCAAAGAGACTCGTAGCTGTGATTTATGATCCTCGAATTGGAAAAGTGTGGTTTAAAATTTACATATTCACTAAAAATGAAGTACCTTCAATACCAATCAAAAATATTGGATTTGAAGGTCAACATGTACTAGCGATCTTGACAGCTTCAGCTGGACTTTTTTTCGAAAAAACTATTATAATAACAAGCTCTCGATAGATATTTAAACAGTGAAACTTTCTCATATCATAAGTCATCATCATCTATCATAAGTTGGATGAAATGTTTTTGTACAGTGGGACTCCGTGTTTGACCATGTTATAAACGATAAGTCTGATTTTTAGCGGAGGAATTTTTCATTAAAATTCAATTTTGATTCTTAGTTCAATAATTATATCGATTATAACTTTTCATTTCCTCTTTTTAGGTCGTCCAGCGCCTAAAGTCACTTGGTGGCGCGATGACGTCGAACTCAAAGGTACCAGCCACACGTCCGTGGAGGAGGGTGTCATCGTTATGGTGAATCAGCTGTTGATTGGCACCACGACCCGTGACTACTTCGGCGCAAAAATCGAGTGTCGAGCGCAAGGCACCAAACTGATAGCGCCTGTGGTGAAGGATGTAACGGTGCAAGTTCATTGTAAGTGAACTTGTTGCACACTATACATACATACATTAATATATATAATATATAAATATATACATTCATTAATATCATATATTTGTTCAGCTCCCTAGCATATAATTAATTAATATGTATGTTTGTATTTATGTACTTTTCCACAGTGAAACCGGTGCGCGTGAAAATCCTCACAGCCAATGACCTGCTAACTGCCGGCCAGCCTGTGCCTTTGCGCTGCGATTCATGGGGCTCATATCCGGCAGCGAAGATTACATGGCTATTGGACGGCGAACCCATACGGAATGCGGAAGTGACTGTGCATAGCGACAGAGAGGTTCGTATTTCACATCGCATATGTTTCACACATACTTATTTGCGTCTATATATATATATATATTTCCTGTAAGTAAGTGCGTATGTTTGCATGCTGAAATGGCAAAGTGAGTGCGTCAGCAGCGGATAATGAGGACCTTGCCTCGTATGTAATTTTTCTTTACATGCGAAGATGATAATATGACAAAATGAATAAGGAAATGTAAAATGATAAGATGACTTGAGAAAACATATATCCATAAAGTTCTTAAAGAAATTAAATTTGTCCTCTCAATTAAGTAAAAGAAAATGGCAAAGGAGAAATAAAAAGGATTGAAATATTGAATATTGAAAAAATATATTGCTTCAAATATGACCGACTGATAACTGAAAATTATTCAATCGGTGGCTGAAATACCTTTATACCAGCTAAAAACCTTTATACCATCTACAACTTCTCTTTGTAATGACTTAGCAAATAATTTGGTTTGAATTCGGTGAATTTTTTAAGTACTGCAGTTTTGGAAACTACTCTATAATTTGACGAACCAAGAGAGAGAGAGCTATATTGAATCACAGATAAAGGAAATTTCCTGCTACTATAATCGAAGAGATCTCCAAACCTTAGAGGTTTTACCCCCTAAGTTAGGTTGAGTTAGGTAAAAAGGTCGATTCATAACGGATATTCAAAGGTTCCAAGTACTGATCGAAAAGACTCTCAAAATTGACAAAGCACTGTGACCATACCACAAATTTGTGGTGGCGGCTGATATCAATTACGGCTTTTTCGCCAGGTTCGCCAAAGATATGACTACTGAGATGTTTCAACCTCAGTCTTGCAAATGTTCCCCCTAAAAAGTTAAAAATTTAGTTAGTTTCGAAATTATTCTGTTTGTTTTAAAAGCTATGAATCAGTAGTGTTCAATACTGTCTTTGACGCTGTCTTTTTTAAACAACATGTCATATTATGTGTTCGCTTCAGTTTCTCTAATATTACCAACGATGCTTTCACGATTGAGGCGCATAAGTTCCTGCAAGTTTCTCGAAAGATTTACAGTTTATTGTTCAAGTTAAAAGCATACTTAGCTGTAGTCAGTACATTAAGGACACCTGAATCAAAATCGTATTAGTGGTATTTAGTCAAGAAGAATATATGATACAGTTTGTAGAGGCAAACATTGTAAGTAGAAGTTTGATGTGGAATTAAGACTTGTACTTTGGAGTTTGAATTTCAAAATCACTCGAATAAGAAAACAAATCTTGACATTGTTTTCTTCCAAAGAGAGAGAGTTTTATTGACTTTATTCTAAGCTACAAGAGTGTTACTCAGAACTTTATTTTGGCAGCTGTTCTCAACAGTTTTCTCTATGTTTGCATACTCCTGCTGAGTATTTTCAAATTATGTTCACTGAGCTTAGGTACGCATAATAGTTGGATTGGAAACACTAATTTGTAATTATGAAACAAACAATCCAATGGCCTTCGCAAAATAAACTTTACCAACTTATCCACTTGGACTATTTTTGCAGAAAAATTACGTCAATATTTCTTCTGTGCTACACAGATTATTAAAAAAATATATTTCAAAAAAAAAACTGCCTAGCTATAATAAATTTTATAAATTCATATACGAGTATAAGCGAAGTACTTTAAGTAAATTTTAAAAAGAATCAAATATAATTCGGGCCGAAAAATATGCTCGCAAAACTATAAAATCACTACAGCTGGTGTGTGACTTTGATTTAAATCTCATATAACGCCTAAATATAAGCAATACTTTATTATACGTTTTCATTTTACTATTTATATTCACAGCATTTAGCAATCTTTGCCTACATTTAGGGTGAATTGACCTGATACTTACAAACTGAAACCAACAACTTTTAAAATTATTTCAAAACAATAATAAACAATTTTTCGAGGACACGCTCCAAAGCTGAGATTAAATCGATAAGCAATTAAAATAGCCTTCCTTTTTGCCTAATGCGGCTTAAGCTAAAACTAAAATGCTGCATATTACTTGAGTATTACAAGCACATATTGCACTCTCTTATTCCCAAACTGAGTGCATCTTGCTGGAAGTGCACCAAAATTCTTAGGGGACTTAGCTCCACCAGTAACAGCCATTTGAAGCAAACGAATGCACAAAATGAAATTGAATTACAATAAAAATAGTAGCCAGTAAGAAATAAGTGCATTGTGGCCTTTCGAGTAACTACAGCAGCAGCTCACTATGCCATTCACTAATCTTCGAAAACAATTTCATCTCAGACCACCAGTGCTTGTTAAGTCGGTAATGTAAAACGCAGAAGCATTAAATAAAAAGCATTCGCTTTTGTTCGGCGCACAAAACAAGTGCTGCAATAGAAAACAACAAACACACACAAAATAATGTAGAGTATACATATATGTATGTGCATTAGCAATGAGCTATAGATGCATGTCTGGTTGGTCCAGTGGCCGCCGAAGAGCAAAAATAACCGCAACCGCAGAGCTCTTCATTGCCATTACATCAAGTCCTTTTGTCAATTGTCAAATGCTGAAATCAACTGAAATGAATTCGCCCGAGGAATTGAGCTTGTATGTATAAAGTGGTAGTTGAAGAATAAATGTGGATATTTGCTTGGTTTTGGAAGTTCGCTCAGAGCTTGTATTGACTCGAACATAACTAAGCGCTTCCTCTGCCAGCGCGCAGCATAGCATACCATAGTTGCAAATAGCTCCGCATAGCACAGCACAGTGATTGCCATTGAAATGTGTGTGCTTGTGTGTGTTTATACGCCACTGTGGAGCAAACTGGAGGTAGGAGGTGGGGGGGTGTGTGATTACACAAAAGAACGCGCAAATTTCTTCAAGGCCACTTGAATTACGAACTTCATTTTTGGACAAATTTCACTTAGAGCACTCAGAGTGGCTGAAAGCTAAACACAAAAGGCAGGCGAACATAACTGACATACATACAACACACACACACAAACACACTTGCTTACACTTGCAATGAAAGCCGCCAATGTCGTGACATTAAATCATTACAAAAACATGAAAGCAAACGCTGATGACAAAAGAGGCGCAATAATCATGCATAATGGGTACTGACACATACATATATATATGCTAACACTCATACACACAATATAGTATGTATGTACATATGTATGTATCTAATGGGCTCACAGTAAACGAAATTTAACGAAAAGTGGCTTACAAGCTGATGCGCAAGCCCATTGGCGCACAACAACAACAGCAACCACACACTAAACCATGCAATTAAGGTAGGTGTATTAGCGAGAGTTTACGGCACACCAATCAACTCCACCAAAATTCAGCTGCCAGCTAACGGTATTCTAAGCCACCGCAGCAGCCACATAGTGAACGGAAGCAACGACGACACCAATTGCAATAAGAAACTGCCTGCAGCTGTGTAAAGCAAACGAAAAAGCGAAGCTGAAGCAACTCGTGGGGAAGGGGTAAATATCAAGGTGTAGGGGGAGCGTTTAGTAGCGAAGAATGCTCATGTTGCTTAACCTAATTATGTCATCTCGTCTGATCTCATCTTTGTCAGTATATGCCACAGCAGCAGCGCACACACAAATACATACACAGATATTATTGCTGCATACTTGTAATGTTTAGCCGCTTGTTTCTTGTTGTTGCTGCCATTGTTGTGCAGCCAATTTGTTATTTGACTTTGTCCGTGATACACTCACGGCGCAGCATACTTTTGCAGGCATCCAAATACCTATACAACTGTACACTTACAAACACTTTTACGCATACATTCACAGACACACACACACCAACACACATGCAATTCGGTATGCCACTTTGCTGGGATTCTCTTCTACTGCTATCTTGTGGGTACCACATAAGTATGTAAGTGCCGGTACTTAAAAGAATGTCACCGTTGCCTGCCAAATCGGCGCACAGTGGGCCTGTTTGCGGTTATGAATTACTATTATTGCCGGTGCTAAGTGTCAGGCGATTAATTGGCTTGCGTTTCAATTTTATTGAGAGTGTGATAATAACTTTTGTACCGCAAATGGACTTTATCACTTAAACTGTGTAAATTTATTATTAATTTATAAAAAGAAAAAAACTAAAACAACTTTAATTAAAATGCTGCTGAAAGAAAAGTGAAATATTGTTTACCCTAAATTTAAATATTGTTTGGATTTCTAATTTATGAGTTAATTTAGTTAATTTTTTTCACATATGGTCTTTTCAGTTTTTTTAGTTAATTAAATAATTTGAAACATTAGTTATTTTTAATTTACGTTTAAATTTAAATATAATTAAGTCAGTTAATATTTTTAAATCGCTACTTAATTTCAAAGGGTATATAAAATTCTAAAACTATAAACATATTTTAATTAAAATTATAATTAAATTATGGTAAAATATTTTTTTGACTCATTTATAATCTAATCTATAATGGAAATGATATTGAAACAAAATTTCAAGCCTAAAATTTAAATTGTAAAACTGTTTGGTTTTTATTTTTAATTTTTCCAAGATGAAATTAGCCGATTTTTACTCCCTCGCAGTGAGCTTTCTTCTAAATCTGAATCGTCCGCAAAAACAAAAAAAAAACATATACTTCTTTCAGCATCGAGTAAATAATAAAGAAATCCCTCTGGAACAGAGAAAACTTCCGTTGCCTCAAGATCACCCACTGTGCTTCATGGACACATATGTTGAGCCATTACCATATCGTCACATCACAGCAATGCTGCCGTTATCCACTAGACGGCACAATGCCACACATACGAGTATCTGTACACATATATTAAAGCATACCTAACGGCCTGCACACATACTTTAACTGAAAAATGCGACCGTTTGTGTGTGTGGCACTGTTCTTGCTGGCATTGTTAAATATAATTTCTTGTTTGTGGCACTTTCGTTGGCAACAGCAGAGCGACATGCGAGTACATACTTTACCGTTGTTCTACGCTCGCTGGCGCTTGTTATTTCCTGCTGTTCTCACAACACCGCCGCCCCTCTATGGGCCGCCGACCGCAACGAATGTAATCGAATGTCAGATGGTGTATGTGTGTATGTGTGTGTATTGTGCTCATTTTAACCGTTATTACTGGAACACGAGCACTTGTCCCTTGCCCCTTTTCACTGAGTCGTCCATTATAAGAATTACTATCTTTCTCGGCGCACACTCACGGCCCTAACCATCCACATATTATGTGCGCCAATGTCTTAGCCATTCCGACAGATGCTAAAAATTCATTTCACTATTTCCCTTTAACATTTCGCTATTCAATACAGTTACATGCATATATTTCTATGGGTATTGATACGCTTACTCATCGTTATATCCTTTCTTTGCTTATTCCTCTTCGCAGGACTCAAATACCACAACCAGCATACTCAATTTAAAGGTAACATCGGAAAATGATAATGCCGAGCTGATGTGTCGTGCGTCGAATCCATGGTTCTCCGGCAGCGCCATCGAGGACAAGCGCATCATTCGTGTGGCATGTAAGTAAAAGTACATTGAGTAGATATATATAAGTATAAGTATCCATATTGCAGAAATTACAGATATTCGTACAATTAAAGTCATTAAAGTGAATTGGTATTTGCGTACTTGGTGTGAGTGTGTAATGCGAAAAATAAAATTTAATTCGATTCGATCTTTGCTGTCAAATGGGTAAATGGTTCTGAAGGTCTCTAAACGTAATTGAAAATATAATATATATTTTCTGATAAACATATAGTATATATATATTTGATGGATCCTTAAAAATAAATCCGTGGGTTCTATGATACCCTGTCGAGGTAAGAAAGACTACTTATACCTTCAGGTCCGAATACCGATTTACAGTTAAAAGTGATCAAAATAGATTTCTTCCGAAAATGCTGCGACTGTTCAAAAGTTTCTGGAATAATTTTAACTGTATATCACGTCGACCCAACTAATATTGAATAATTTAGAAATATTGCTGTACTCTGTGCCAACCTCAACTACGGCATATTTCAAGTTCTTCTTGTGTTTTTGCGCCTAAAAGGCTTAAAAAGGATTTTCAATAGTATGGGAGAATAACTAATATAACACCTCATATATGGGCCGAGAATAGATAATCTGCAATATGTTATAGGAGCTTTTTTGGTGAAATATGGTACTGAAACCCTCAGAGATATAACCAAGCTACGGACTAACTCGCAGTCTCCGTTAACTGTCTGTCACGAAATACGATTACATCGGCTAAATACCCCAAAAACTAAAACTAAAATATTCGAATGCACGTCCGTTTGAATGTAGGACAAATCTAAAGAAATTACTAAAATGTTGTATGAAGATCTTATAGATCGCATTAAATTTAAGCAAAGAATCACTTTTAATGGATAATTGGATATTACCTGTGCGCTTTCATAACGAAAGTGCCATATCAACAAACCACGTCAACTTAAAGCCAACTTTGACTAGAGGAAAACATATACCTTATACCAATATTCTTCTGAATCTGAATATATGTAAATAGATAATTTAGAGAGGCATATACAAGTATTATCTGCAAACTTCGAATTTCAGAAAAAATTTTTTTTTTTTATTATACAAGTAAGTACTCTCAGAGCTCACCACAGTATATATCGTGAAACGACAAGACGTGATTTTCGACATGCGAAATATAATGATACGTAATGTCGCTGGGTCTATACCTACATTCCAGTTTAACAGATATACATACGTATTATATCACATGTGAACAAATAATTCAGTATGAAAAGTTTATACGGCTTATAGATATTATATTAGCTCGCAGGTTCTTAGACGCTCTCACGACTCCAAATTGACAGTTTAATGATTTGATGTAGACAAATATGCATCCAAAATACAGAAGCAGACCAGTAGATTTCAGTAGCTGAGTTTAAGGAATATAGTTAGGGAATGTGTCCGATATTTAGCCACTTGACGTTAGATGTTTGGTATTGAATGTAATGATTCTGAAAAGGTTATTTGACTGTTACCTATATATTTTTATTAATATTACGAGAAAGAATTCTTTAAAGAAAAAGAATACACGGGTCCATTGTCGAAATATGGGAAGAGTATCAAATATGTGGCGATTAGCTTAGGATTCTTTTACTTTACTGAAAAAAAAAACTTATTAAGAAAAACTCGAAAAAAATGTTCTGAGAAAGCTTTTGAGATGATTCGATCAGATGATAGTTGTACTAAATTCATAGTAATACTAGTATACTAAGTAAAAGCAATGATTTTGGGATGTCATAGATTTTTAGAATATGATTTATCTTTTATTTTCGAAAATCCACGTTCCCATACACCTTAAAGCTTCAATTTGTCATTTATATGCTGCCTAATTTAATTTCCAACAATTTCTTTATGTCTTCAGCTACTTTTTATCTAAAAGAAAAGTACTTCGCTTTGATTTCACCAAATGAGTGTATAACAAGCTTGTTAACCTCAAAGTACGCACACCGCTTAGCTTAGTGCCTTTTGGTTGGTCATTTGCCGCCTCAAACTATAAATTGCATATTGTTCGGTAATAAAAATATATACGCAAGTATATATGTGTGTATATTTATAATCGCATTTCAGTCAAACCAATTTCATGCTTGAAAGTGAATTAGTGATCAGTGTAGAGCACATCATATATCCAATTACGCTACGCTCTATTCCGTGAGCGTATTAGCCTAATTTTATATCCACTCAACTCGACTTCACTATGGTACTCGTTAAGTCAGTAAATTTCATATAACCTTAGTTCAAATGAATCTTCTTCAGCTCAGACAGAGCCAGTGCTCGCTACTATACTTTACTATGTGTGATTGTGTGTGTGTGTGTGTTGTGGCATAGACACTTTGTATTGGAATATAAGTGAAACGCGCGGAAGCGTAGCTAATGGGCCACACTTAATGCCCTGCGATGGGGCAGACAACATTTTACTTAAGGCGACTGCCAACTTTTTGGCATTTTTGTTTAGAAAAGTTTGCAATATAAAGATATTTATTTATACTTGTAGTAGGTATATATTTAGTATCTGAGTTGTGCTATTGTTTACATAAAATAGACATTGCGTACAGTAGGCGCCACACGACGCGCTGAGACGGGTACAAGTAGTTGAAAAATGTAATAAATATGTGGCTATAAATATAATGGGTAACATAATAAGAAAAAGCACGAGCGAGTAATTGCCTTGGCAGGTGTGGGCGAAGCTGCTGTAAAGCAAATTTTTTTTTAAATACCCACGCAAGTCTGTTGATTTTTGAGCGGTTGAAAATTGGTTAATATACTTGGCAATACAATTTTTAAACTAAAACTAAAATTTTGAATTCAGTTGCTATCATAAAAGGCAGTCGTAAATAATTAAAGATTAGTAAACTTTATTAAAATCTTTTAAATTATAGCTAAGCAAGTATAGACACACACACACATGCACATATGTGCCTACCATACAAAATCTTCTCCACCCTTCTTGCATTCTTCGAGTCCTGCGCAGCCAAGTGCGCGTCTTTCGCTTTGCCACAAATGATTTTTCAGCGCCAACTACTATTGTTGCCCTTATTGTACATGGTCGTTATCGTTTGCCGGCTACGCATTGCTGCATTGTGGCTCATTGTGGCGGCAGCTTTTGACTCATTCAAATTTATTTAATTTTGTTTACTTTTATGCTGCAATTTGTATCGCTCATTAAACTTGCCGCCAACTTCAGCAACATTTAATTTTTATTTTTGCTTTTGCTGTTGCTATTGTTTGTTGTAGTTGGTTTTTGTTTACATTTTTATTAATGTTGCTCTTTATTAGACAGCCGAGCAAATATTTATTTTATACATTCTCGCTCAAATGCGCAAGCAGCGCAAATGCTCGTAAGCGAGTAATGTATATAATGTGTAATACGCACACACATATATAGTCGCATATAATATAGCACATTTCTGCCTTACTGTATTTACAGATCCGCCAATAGTGTCGGTGCACTTAGCGAACGAGGACCCCAGTCGCTTTGTTACCAAGGCTGAGGGACAAAATGTGACGTTCAAGTGTCGTGCAGATGCGCGTCCTCCAGTGAGCTCGTATGCTTGGTTCAAAAATGTAAGTTCAACTATTAATAAATATTTATTTTGGTTATGTTGTAAATAGGGTATATGTTTGTTAAGGATTCAATTTTGGCTCCTAACATTACTTATTTTCACAAAAGCCTGGCTTAGTGTTCGGCTGAAGTGGGCTTGTGGTCTCTAAAACTGTATTTTTGTGACAAAAGCTACACTATTTTAATTTTGTTTTTAGTTTTCACGTATTTAACTTTTTAGATAATGAATACGGCGGTTTAAGCCATCTCTTTCCTACTCAGCGTTGGAAAACCGAATGAAAAATAAAAGCTAAGCCCAGCCATATTACTCAAAAGCAAATTTCCGAACGTAAACCCCTCAAGATTTTCTTTTATGAGCATGGCAAGATTAGTTTCTTTGAAAGATTTAGCAAAAGATTTTCATGTGGAATGTTATTATCCATGCGCGATCTGAAGAAGCTCCCCTGGATCTTTGAACCAAAAGACCACTACAGCTTTAGGCGAGTTTTAGAAACAAAATTTAAATCGATAAGAGTTCTCTGAGTTCTCTGTATCTGTAGTCTTTCGAACAGACCCGTGAGTAATTGCTGACCTGTAGTCTGATTGAACAAACCTTCAACTTTCGTTGTTGATTTACGTGAATACCTGCCGGCGACGGCCTTACCTCACGGTGTTCCAAAACACAACGTATCAATACAATGCGTTGATAAGCGCCCCAAACAATACGAGCTATTTGCAAGTATTTATTTGGATACCAGTGGCAGTGTGTCTGGGTCCACACTACCATCTTGGTATGATTCGAGGCCGACCTAAAACCTCTTCCGTTTTCGGGTACGGAACCCAGTTGCTTTTTGCAACTTTAGTTTTGAACTGAAAAAACAGTTAGGCTGAAATTTCAGTTCTTCCTGCATTTAGGTTTCAACCACAGCCACCACGAATCTCCCAAAAGGGGACATAACCCAATGAGCAGATTGGACCTAAGTCCAAGGGCTTACTGCTCCCCGTGGTACCAGAAAGTCTCCGGTAAGACTGCGTAGCCGAAACTACTGCCAGTTGAGCAACCCATTACTCAATGACTGGTGACATTTGTCGCTTGAACTTCAAATGTCTTTTTATTTGCTTTTTCATTTAAAGTCTATAATATCAGTTCAAGCTGAGTATTATAGCACTATTTCTGACATACTTTGCTGATATTACTGAGCAAGGTACATAATAACAGTCATAGTGCATTTGGCTTTTAGTCGCCTTTTACGACAGGCATGCCTTACCGCGGGTAAATTCTTACCCCTTCCCGCAGGGGGATGAACAAACCTTCAGTAAGAATTTCAGTGATTGTGATTAGTATGTTTAAGTCATTGTGCATTTGCCTCTTTAGACATAGGGAGACAACCAATACCAATCGCCAGTTAAACTTAAAAATGGTATGGTTATTGATAAATATACAGCGATACCAAGTGCGACCTCTAAATAGTACTGCGAAAATTTCAACCGTCTGTGGTCCCGATGGTTTCAAAACTAAAAATGTATGCAAGTCCGGAGCTCTTTTATTGATAGTGGGTATAAACTTAAATCTGTACCGATAAGTTTTGCATTTTACCATAAACTAAGGCTGGCTTGGAATATTTTAAGAGAAACGACTCATGCTAAGAGAGCTCAAATCATCACAGAGACATTTTGCTGCTTTTTAAATAAATTAAGATTATTGTATATCCCTAAAGCCGTTCGGCTCATATGTACATTCGAGAGCTTGCGGTACTTTAAAACCTAGACCTTCCGTAAATTTTTGATGATAATTATTCTTAAAAATCAGGCGTTTAATTTTTTAAGGTTATTGTAAGCATATAAAATGTGCTCTTCTGGAACAAAATGTGATTGCAGTTAAATTTTGTATTTAATGACTCTTTAATAACCTCGAATAGGATTTTTCAAGCAGAGAGCTAAAATAATCGTCTAAAACAAATGAAAGAGAGTGGATATAAAGTCCGAACGTCGATTTCCCACACACTTTTAGACAAAAAGCTATAAATAGAACCTTCTTAACTGAACAATGTTCGACTTCCAGAAGCCAAGCTAGGTGAATTTGAAATATCTAATACAAGCCGAATGTATCCAGCTAACGAAATAGTTCTAGAAAGTTCTAGTTCTTTGTCTCTAAGGTCACATTTGTTTTTAAGTTAAATTTAAAATCCTTCCTAGATTTTAGATGAATAACCACAAGATATAATACAATTGCCCTCAGTCATTTTGCCGCGGTCGGCAATGCTTAGGTGGTTAAAACACAACACAACAAAAGCGAAAATGAATGCTTAACAACTTTGCAAAATGCAGCTGAGCTCATTTCTAGCGGTGAATGGGTCCACAAACTGTGGCACTATTCACCATTCAAGCAGCTATTTAATTATTATCACACTCCCCGCTCATCGTGCCTCTTAAACTGCCCGTCTTCGTTGTTCACCCTTGTTTACGAGCGCGTAGAGATTACAGTTACGATTTTATCCGTTTACACGGTTTTACTTTTTTATGCCGGCTCCTTTCGAGCATTTATCTATTTATCCATACTTAATATTGGGGTCAAAGCTGTGGCGTGTTCGGCATAGCTCAACTTGATGGACCAGCACCAGCACAATTTCATTATGTAGTCTTCCTTACATTATTACTCACTGCTCGCAGTGCCCCAGCAACTGTGCAATACCGTTATATGTATGAATATATATTTTTAGCAGCCTAACAGCGCGTCTTACCAACTATTGCTAGTTATTTGAGGCTTTCGTTATGTGCGCCACACCCCCCTCTGTCATTCGACTGCTCGGTTCAACGCACGCCCCTATTTAAACTCACTGAAATTTATTCGTTGCTGGCGATCACTCACTAATATGTTGCTGCCACTATACAGCACTGTGGCCACAGCACCGATTGTTGTTGCAGCTCAGCGTTTGCACTGTTGTTGTTACCCTGCCTGGAGTTGACGGCACTTTTGTGGTCTAATTTAATTTGGCAAATTGCTCGGTGAACCGCAAAGTGCTGAAGTACCACTACCATCACTACTAGCGCAACACTGATCCGCTACCCGGGTGTTGGCACTGCGCCGCATGCAACACACACGCCGCACAAAAAGTGCCGGCAAACAGCAAGAAGTGACAATATTCAATTTATGCCCTCGCATAAAGAGATTTACCAATTTTCCGCTGTAAATGAAAGTGGTGACGCGTGTCGAGCGTTCGATTCGTCAAGTTTAAAGTGCGCGCACGCATACAAATACACTTATGCCTGGTCATATATTTGTATATTTGTATGTGAGCGAACGTAAATAATTGACTGACTTCGAATGCAAATGACGAATTGTGTGCGAATTTGCGCATTTAAATTCCGGTGTTATTAACTTTTGGCGGAAATCGCTGGAAAAGTGACGCGTCAGTGGAAAGCGTGTGGGAGCGAGAGAGTATGCATCTGCGTGAGCAAGAGTTAAGTCGTTGCGCTGTCGGTTGTTGATCTCATTTATGGCAGTTATTGCATTGTTCTGTTACACGCATTTTAATCGTATTCACTTTTATAATAACATGCATACATGTATATATGTACATAGTAGAGTGGCCCTTAAATGTGGCAAAAATATTTGCAAAATAGATTTTCGAAATCAAAGCACAATTGGTACTAATTGAGGCGTATGTATTGCAATTATCTAATTGAGGCTCGATAAACTATATACAATCTGCGATATGTAGCACATATATTCATTATAACTTCAACAGTACGAGAACTTGTCCCTCAGTTTTTGAGATATAGTTGTGAAATTTTGCTTCGGACCACTATAACATATAGCTGTCATACAAATTGAGAAATGGATTTTGTTCATTCTTGTATGGAAAACTTTTTATTTAACAAAATATAATTAAGAAATTTGACATAGATGATTTTCCAGCGCATTGGTATAAAATCCGGACAAATTGTTAATTATAGCTGTCATACAAACTGACAACAAATATTGTTCAAAGTAACTGTAAATTATTTCAAAAAAAAAAAATCAAATTATTCAGATCGGAGTACTATAGCATATAGCTGCCACATAAACTGACCGATCAAAATCAGGTTATTGTATGGAAAATTTATTATATGGTAACGGTAATTAAATAGAAAATTCAAAAATATAATAAAATTTAAATTTTTTTGGAACCACCTTAATATAAATTCATGTATGCAGAAATGAAGTAATTAAAATATGCATGCGACGTAAGGATTTATTTCACCACAACAAACTCTGAAAAGCACACACCCCGCTAACAGCAACCCGCAAGCCCGCATCCTGCTTGCAACTTGCCGCTTGCTGTTTATGCAGGCTGCATCAGCGCTCGCTGACAGACGTAGTATGACTTCACTCACTGCGCTTTACTTTCAGCTTTGACATGTATATGATTCCTTTCTCATTTCTATGTATATTTAATACAAAAAAAAATATTTTCTGTGGTTGCCAATTTTCATTGCACCACTTTTTTTACTTTTTTGCATTTATTTTCTGTTTTTAAATAAATTTTAGTTCGCCTTTGCTGTAAGTATTTTTATATATTTTTTTCTTTTTTCACTATACATAGTGGCTACCCTTAGGTAAAGTTTTCCCTAACAAACTTTGTTGCTTGTTTATTCATATTCATGTAGTTAAATGAATGTTAGAACTGAATATGAAATACTTTTTACAAGCGCAAAGATGGAAAGATGGTAATCAAAGCATATACTTTTGCATACATACGCATAACAAGCGTAATTACATATCATAAATAAATATCAGAGTTGCAGTGAAACAACAAATAAGCCACAAAACTAGTTAGTAACAAGTAAGGAAAGCCTAAGTTCGAGTGGTGGGAAAGGAACAAAGACAGTGGAACACCTTCAGGTTTTAGCAAAATTTTTTATCAATCAAAGAAAAGTATCGCTGTGCTTCTATTCATTTAAGGAAAAAGTATACACTGTTATCAGAAAACGATTATTTCTGAATTTCTTTTAGATTTATTACATGTTGACCGTTAGATAG